AATATATTTAAGAAATTTGTCTACAGATTCATTAAAAAGTTCCGACCATCTAAAGAGGCGTTTGTGAGCCAAATCTATTTAAAATATTTTTAAACTATCAACAGCGCTACGATTTGTTCTCAGAGATCGTGCCAACAGAGTATTGGGATTTGATTGGGATTTTCTTTCACAAGTAAATCCAGCCTTTCGAGCTTGTATTTAGTATTCACGATGTTAGAACTGCATGAAATTAACAAAAATTGTTTAAAATTAGTGTCTAGCCGCCAAAATGTAAGAAAACATATACAAAATCATACATTTTTCACAATTTTCTAACACTTCGCTACACCATCGAAAGCAAAATTCTGTTCGACAGAAAATTCGATACTCAACGAAAATTTCGACACGCTTGCATAGCTCATAATACGAATTTCATTTTGCAGCTTGGAGCTTCGATCTTCGATAGCCAGCGAAGATCGAATGCAGCTCATAATAAGGGCCTATATCTTAAAAATCCACTATTAATATAAATACATGTATCAACTCACAGAGCTCTACTTTGAATAAACTTGTTACGCCCATTTAGGGTTTCTCTAAAAACGTAAATAGCTTTCCGAAATTTCTTAGACTGATTTTATGAAATGTATGTATGTATGTAAGTATTTAAATCATTGTGTATACATGGTGACTATTAGTTAATATTTGCAAGGATTGTACAGTTACAATTTTTTTGTAATTTTTTTTTTTGTAAAAATATGGTTCGTGTATCAATCAAACCCATATAAATCAGACTTTCAAACTTTATACAAAGCTTAGAAAAAAATTTCATTTTCAGTTTTATAGCCTATTAAATTTAATATAATTAGGCCATAAAATCGCTTTGATGTTTAATAATTTTTTTTTTGTTAAAGGCCTTTGTAAATTTTTTTTTTCATATAATAAATGCAATTACAAAACTGGTGTCAGCAAAAAAAAAATTTAATCTTCGCGGTTTTTTAGCCACATAAAATCGGCCCTTTATTATATTAAAATTTAACAGGATATAAAACTGCATACACAAAAATTTTCTAATTCAGAATAAAATGTTCCAAATTTTAATGAAACTTTGTTGAATTTTTCTGAACTCTGCATTAAACTTGAAAATTTGATTTATTTGGTTTTGGTTAAAGTATTAAATGAAAAAAAAATAACGAAAAAAATTTTAACTTTAAAAACCTTGCAAATATTTAACAAAAGTCACCAGGTACTCATTTTTGCTCCCCACTGTACATATGTATGTATGTACATACTACACTTTTGTCTGATAATAGTAAAAGCATTTTATTAAATTTTCATGCAGAAGAGAGCTGCAAAAATATATGTACATATTATATCATATCTCCCATCGGTTTCATTATTAGCTCGTAGATTTGCACATTTGGCGGCTGTGAGAGCACATAGATAACGGCGCCTGAAACATCTTCTGGACGTAGAATTTTTCCATCCACAATCTTTTTCTGCCGCTCTGATATAAGTTCCGTATCCACGAGACCGGGACTAATGCTCTGGAAAGAATTCAAAGTAAATAATTTTTTTTTAATTAATTTACAGATGAAACATTATGCATATCCAACGGCTAAGTGGAAGAACGATCAGTTCAAAATCGCCCTATCTCTGAAAACTTTTCAATAACACCCTACCTCAAAACTTAGTTAAAGAACGCCCTCTTTCATAATATTATTGAAAAACGCCCTATCTCAGAACTTGGTGCAAAAACGGCACTGAATATATATAGTTTTTTAATGTTGAGATAGGGCCATTTTGGATCGGCAGCTGAGATAGGGCAACCTAATTTTGAAGTAGGACAATCTTTAATCAAAATACAACCTGCAGTACTATTCGCTCTCCAGGCATGGGCTTAAATTGCATTAAATTTTCTGTAAAAACTGGCTTAGGTATTGGGTTTAGCACTGTCAATGCAATGAGGAAATACGATATTCCAGAGATTCGTAAAACATTCAATCTCGCAAAATCTCGTTGAATGTAGGCCTGATGGGCTTTATCAATGTCGGGTAAGGACCGTACTGCAATGCAGTTTTCATATTTATGGCGACTAGGCACTTATCGTCATTCAAAGATGCTAAGTAACCTGTTAGTTAGGTTCATCCCACTATATATGCTTTGCTGCTGTGGAAAATATTTTTTACTTGCTAGAAAATTTCCCATTTGAATTGTAATTTTTGGTTGGCCAGGGATTATCGTATAAACGGGATCGTTCCGTTATACACTTATTCGGCATGCTTGCAAATTTGCTCAACACCACAGCCTCCTTTAAGAGATCAGCGGCAGTTCGCCACAAATTTGAAAGCAAGTATTCCGCTAATTGGTGGGAAATCGGTTTATAACCAAAATATTTATGAAAAAACTCGAAATGTTTGAAAACAATTATTTGTGATACTTTATTGATTTATTTTTTTTTTTTTTTAGACAATTGGTACAGGCTTTGGCAGCGAAAAACGTGATAACACCAGCGCATTTTCGTGCAGGTCGTTCGTCTGAAAACATTGCTACAAAGTGGAACAAGGTGTGGACCAAGCCGCGACACCTTCAACTCATCATCGTGCGCAGCAATTTAATCTTCTCTACAGTGTCATTTAGCGGATTTTAACAGAGGACCTAATGTATAGGCAAGTATAAAATTCAATTGACAAAGGATCTGAATCCCAGAAACCAACTGCAGCGTCCAATATTTAACAATTGAATGCTTGAACAATAAGGATTTGATGCCGAGTGAAAATAAAAAAATCATCATGGGCGACGGGCACATTTTCAACTAAGCAGATACATATGTATGTACGTTAAAGGCTATTTCCAGCTCTAAAGAAAACGAAAAGTTCATATAAAATGACGCACAAGATATGGAGAAGAAATTTTCTTCTATCAAAATATCTTAAATCAGTTTGCAGCTCTCAAAAAAAATACTCGTATATTTATTTGTTCAAGAAAGTTTACAGCAGAGGCCAAGTGCTTTTTCAAGCAACATAAATAATGAAACATATTTCTTGTGATTTTTCTGGAGAGCTGTATTCTAAGTTTTAGCGGCAAAGCTGAAGGCTGCAAACTGATTTACGACATTTTGATTTGTGTCATTTTGTATGAAGTTTTGGTTTTTCTTGAGAGCTGGAAACAGCTTTTAAGCCGGCAGCGCTGTTACGGTGAACGCTGAAAGTTATCAAGGCATGATAACAAACTTTTTATGGTCTGAATTATATGTTATGAACTTGGACAACAGGGTGGTGACACTTGCGACACAGCGCATGAAACAATGGCGCTATTGCGAGCGAAGTTCACAGGTCGTATTTTCGCGCGAAACAATGACGTCAAATCTCCGCCGATATCCGATATGGAAATCATCCTGTACTTTTCTGACAGCCAAGCTGCCATCAGAGCTTATCGGATATCCAACTGGATGATAAACTCCAGGTTACTTAAGGAGGGTTTAGACTGAAGGGTGTCTTAGAAATGCAGGATGGCTAATCCTCTGGCCTATAAAATGAGTACTGGGGAACGAATGGGGACCCTTAGGTAGGTCAGGCTCTTTGCCCATAAATCTTTTGAATAGAGCCAAAATCAGGCGACTTACAGTATACCCAACCAGCCAGGACTATCTGCGCTTTTACTTGAAGAATATTTAAATTTTTTAAAAGATTGACCACACTTGGACGCAATTTCAATTGAACCATTTAATTCACTTTTCCAACTGAATGCTCGCAATTTATTTTTTCGTCACCTTTCGCTTGCAACCATTCGATTTTCACTTTTACTACGCTACATTTAAGTCTTGTAAATTGAAATTTAAATCCGATGTTGCTACTTCATTGCACTCCACTCCACCGCCCACCGCCCACCGCCACCCGCACCCGCATCCATTCCCACTCCCCACCCCCCACTCACCGTCACCTTAACGCGCGTGCCCAACTCTTTGAACTCTTGCCGATAAATCTCGTTAATCGCAGTGAGTGCAAACTTGGTGGCCGGGTAAATGTTCAAGGTCGGCATGTGGCCCGGTATCACAGGCACCTTGTGTCCGCAAATGCTATTTATCAGTATCACGTGACCGTCGATGTGATGCGCCCGCATAGCGGCAAACACATGGCGGGTGCAATTGACCACGCCCATAACATTCGTTTGCAACACCTCCTGCACTTCGTCCGCAGCCATGGTGGCCAATTGTCCAGTACGCAAACAACCAGCATTGTTGATCAACACATGCACTGGTCCGTGGTCGTGAATGATGCGCGTAAATGTTTCTGCTACATCCTGTGCATCGGCAATGTTACATTTAATAGCGTGCAGGCGTTCACGCTGTTCAGCGGTGGGCAGTTCGTGGCGCAACGCTTCGACGCGTTCGAAACGTCGCGCCAAACCGATAACAATTAAGCCGGCAGCAATTAGATCGCGCACAATAGCAGCGCCAATGCCCGAACTGGCGCCGGTCACCACCGCCAATTTCGACTTTAATTGCTCCATTACTGTTTCTACCGTTAAGGACGCGCTGAATTTAACTTTCGCTGAAGAGTTTTTTAATTACTTTTTTTTTGAGTTTAACGATATTCACATCCTACTCGGCCAAATGTTGAAGTTTTACTGTCATGAAATTTTTAATGCATACTGCCTTTTAAGTGCGATACAAAAAATACTTGAAAATGGTGTGTAAGAAAAATGATTAAAAAAGAGTATTAATCTCCTGCTTGTAATGCGCGTGACCGCAAAACCGCTTGCGATGCTGTAATAGTCGTGAACACCCAAGCCGCAACTATCAATTTTCAGAATTACATATATCAGTGACTTTACAACGCTTTTGCACAACTGGGGGCAAGAGTGAAAAATGCGCAACCGATGCTGTGAAGAGTAAAATGAAAAGCAAAACAAAAAATTCAAAGTCGCTTACATACTCTTTAAAGATCTTATAACAATATTGCAACAATAAATATGTAACCAGTCATTGGTGACACGCAAGCTTTAAAGATCAATTTGCATACATACCCAGTCGGAAAAGTAGTAATGCATTACATGCGTGATAAATAATATAATGTATTAATATTACTGCTAACTATGTAATTAGCATTCTAATGTATTCAAAAACTTTCAAAAATTACATATTAAAACACATCCATTTCTCGATATTAGGTAATGTAAAATTGAATGCCCCACTTTTCTTAGGACAGCAGGCTTCACCACATAAGGAGCTCTATTAACATCTTTGTATACTTATAACTCCAACCTCGACGGAAAGCTCAGAGAGGATGCCTTCCATCCATTCTTCTGTTAGGAACAGCACCACAAAAGCAGCAAGCGAACGTTAGAGAAATTCCAAAAAGCAGACAAAATGGTTATTTTCACAAGAAAGTGCATGGTTCTTGCATTGGGTCTCCAGAAGCTAGGGTACTCCGAGCTAGATATGGGCACGGGATATCGGGACCCGCAGGACCCACGTTACTGATTTCAAAATAGGTGGGATGGCCGGTATCGGGAAGGTCTTTTAAAATTTTGCAGGCCGGATGAAACCAAAATCCTCTGCCGACACTCCCGATAAAACCACCAAGCTCTGGAAATTCAGTAAATCTTCCTAAAAATGTTGTATGTAATAAGCACTTTTTAGGGTTTATTGAGAAGAAAACGAACAGCAAAACAAAATTAAATTCCAGGACCAGAATTTTTCTAAGCAATAGATGCAATTCGGAAAAACGTCGGGATGGGCGGGTTCGGAACTCAAANTCATATTTCAATTTCTCGATACTAGGTAATGCAAAATTGAATGCCGCCTTTTCTTAGGACAGCAGGCTTCACCACATAAGGAGCGCTATAAACATGTATGTATACTTATGACTCCAACCTCGACGGAAAGCTCAGAGAGGATGCCTTCTCTCCAGAGCTAGAAACATCCGTTCGGCTTCCTGACCACTGTAGTGTATAACAGGCTGAGATTCATCTTCTCTGACAGTAAAGCAGCCCTGAAAGCTCTGGACTCATGTCTGGACAACGCAGGATCTCTCACTGAACGCCGGGATGGGCGGGCTCGGAACTCAAAAATTTAATTTCGTCATGGGCGAAATCTGAATTTAATATTTAGTCCCGTGCCCATTTGTACTCCGAACTGAATCTTCCAGATTGGGGTGATATTGAACAACAAACTGCTACGGAAGAGGAGACAGCGCGTGCGAGAAGATGTTGGGCTTTTCTTGGAATCTATCGTCTACGCGAATACCCCGGTGCTACCCAGCCGCAGTTAGATCAATATTTCTGTAGGCGGCATTAATGTGATGTACAGCATCGAATAAAATTTCAATCCTGAAGCAAGTTGAAATCAGCTATCCAGCTGGAAATTATATACCAGCTTATTGGACAGAAGAATTGTACGGTGGCGCAAGGGTATGACACTTGGTGATACGACTTATAATATCTACACAGATGGATCAAAAATGTCTGAAGGAGTAGAAGCTTGAGTATACCGCATAGCGCTGGGCATTAGACAGCAATTTGAACTGCCTAAACACTACAGAATATTTGCCCTACCGTCTTGGTACTGCGACACACTCAAGTAGCAAATACAGTAGTGTCGCCTTCGCTACTTCGGGACTAAATTATCGCGACTAAAAAAAACAAAGGTCAAATGATCTCAAGAGAACTTATCAACGAAGAATTATACGTGATCACGGAAAAATACTATCAGCGACTCCGCCAAAATATACTTCAAAATATCACCCTCTTAGTAATAGGTAATCCTACATTCCCTGTGCTTTCTAAATGCCAACCCTCCATCATATTATTGAGAAGTCTCAAATGCCCTCTTTCAAATTTTATAAGCTTTAATTTAAAAAAAATTACTTAACTCCAGTTTTGAAATACTGTGTAGCGATGCCGGTTGTAGTTTTTGGTACTGTTTCTACTCTTTAGCAGTACTATTTTTAGTTTCACTAATGCGCAATGCTACCTTTGCGTTTTCATACTATAAGATATACAAAAAATGGAAAAATGTTCGGAGAACTGGCCATTTTCCAACTGTATATATATATTCAAATCTCACGAGTGGTTTTTAGTGTCACTCCCTTCTCTCAGCAGAAAAAAACGCTAAAACAAGTACAATAAAAAATAAATTAAGTATTTGAACAATTTTAGCCTTAGAACATTTACTTAGGCGAAAAAGTGCCAAAATTACTCATCTTTTCATTGTCGCTCGAAAAAATCATAACTGTTTGTTTTTAATAACTTAGTGAAGCTTTCAAATAGAATGTTCATATTAGAGGCAATGGACGTTGGAATCATATAGATATAGATAGATACTACAAACCTGTGTGTTTCCATGAGTGTACCACAAATTTAAAAAAAAATTTAAATTTTTTCAAAATATTGAAATTAAACAGTGAAAATTTTCTTTTTACCAAAACGAACGAATCTAGAGTAATAAAACGAGTGTGTCACCAAATGAAAAAAACTATATTGAGTAAAAGATGACTACTATGTCGAGAAACTAAAATTCCATTTTCACAATTTTTATTGGTACACTCGAAATTTATTCTAAAATTGTTATATACGTGAAGAAAGTAACATATATGTACAGACATCGCAAGGTCTTAGGCTTATTCTGACTTGCGCCGTTTATCGTATTTCTTAGATTGCGGTGATGACTTCCCGAGGGCAACAACCACCCATGCAGAGGGAACTTCCCCATTAAGGGTCCGTTAAACTGGTATTAAAAACATACAAATCGTCATAAATATATAAAATATTTAATTCTTTACGGGAAAAGCAAAAAACTTTTTAAAATTATATGACAAATGCTTTATGATCTGTTCTAAAGGTGCTAATAAATCTTGCATCTTTGAAGATATAGCTTTAAATTTCGGCACTGCGGTGTATTTGAATGGATATATGTACTCGCAGTTAAATAAATAGGGACACATCGCTAGCTTAGAGTGAAGCTTCACCAAGTCCACTTTATGAGAAACGTCTTATTTTGACTTAGGAAGCAAGAGAAATTAAAAGTACATCGTCTCCAAAAGGATTAGGGTACTTTTTGTTTTTCTGCTCGTTTATATTCAAATTTGTTAGTTGAAAAAGACGCACAGAAAAAGCTTTTTCCCCTCCGGTAAAACGGATTAAACTTTTCGCTGTGAGCTAGTGCTTTATATTTCAAGTAATTTAAAATGCATGTTACATTTAATTAGAAAGTAGCTCCTTCTAAATAAGAATCCACCGCACTCTAATCTTTCTTATGTAAAGTGTAGAATTTTTAAAGTACCACCAATTGTGCGCAGATTCGCAATACAAATGGATGACGGTATAATGAAAGGAGCAAGCTCCAAACCACAATGCTCAAGTTTTATCCAACAATTTATCATTTACCCCCAGGCATGAACTCTATACACAGAGGTAACGTATGGATGAGTGCAAGGTGCAGCAACACATACTCGTAGTATGTATGTAGAGTTTAATGTTGAGGGTGGCTTGATAAATCTACAACACAAAATTTATGACTATACTTACATACATACATTAGGGTGGTCCTTAAAAATATCAGCATCAAAATTTTACACTTGTATGGGGCAACCCTTTGTTTTGTTCTGAGTAAAAAATTAAGTCATTCACGAAAATTTCAAAATATTAAAAAAAAATTTTAGGGATCGCTGCCAGGGTTTGAAAAAAATTACATATTTTTTAATAGCAAAAATTCGACAAAGTTTTGAATTGCTATCAGATACTTTTGACATATTATTGAAATTTATCTACGTAAATTCATAAACTCGCTGAGTAATGGCTGGTCAAAGTCAAATTTTCGTCGAGTTTTCGCACTTAAAAAAAAAAATTATTTCAAAACCTAAATTAAATTTCTGTAACTTTTCAGTTTTCGTGGGGGTATTATTTTATATAGAACAAAATATGGCGATACCCCGTGACGTTGATATTTTTAAGAACCGCCCTATTACACAAACATATGCGCATACATGAGCAAAACCACTAAAAAGAAGAAACCACAAGACGGTCACTCTAAACCTTTACAAACTTAGCTGCGTTGTCCAGTTTAAACAAAAAAAAAATACAAAAAAAAAACAACAAGAACAGAAACAGAAACAACTCAAGTGTTGTGTGCAGAAGAAGGAAAAATAGAGAGTGGGAGCTTTTGAAAGTCAATTTACTTACATACGTACATACATATATGGTAATACGTACGTACATGCATAAGTGCATAAAACCATGAATGTTCATGAAGTGGATTTTGTGTGGCTCTCTCCTACGTAACATGTGTTGTCCATTTAACGGCTGCACTTCTTGACACAAGGTTTTGACTCGGTAATCCTATTTAAAATATTGCAATCACTACGTACTTTGGCACTATGTACATATATACATATGCATCTGTGTTTTATTCTGAAACGAATTGTTTGTGGTGACGCGACGTACTGAAAATTTAACAAGAAATTCTATATCTTCCTTTTTGTATTGCAATGCTTAATCTTCGTCGAATTAAGCAAAATTATGTTTGTTTTATAAATAGTTTGCGGAAATTATTGGAAGGATATTTTTGTGTATTATAAATTTCCAATAGAAGGAGAAAATTAAGCCTCAGTTGAGACCCTCT